GTAAATGATCCCACATCTAGGATCGTAAGGAATAGAGCAAGCATGTAAATTTGGTACGCAATTGACGATATGTTACTGGATTGAACGGAGTACAAATCTTAACCTAAGTGCTTAACCTAAGGAACAAAATACGAATTAAATGATATACAAAAAAAAAGGTGCTTCACTGATCGATCGGTAGTATCGCCAACTTGGTTATGGGCCGTATGAACATTCCCTTGGCAGTTTTTACCACAGCAGAGCGGGATATACCGTCGGAGTCGGGACGAACTTCTTGGATGCGACCCAATAACCATTGCAAGGGCGCTAAGCCCTGTTGCTTAATCAGCACGAGTCGTCCTGGTTCCAATGCTGCTCCCAGGTTCTTCTTCCATTTAGAACGTTCCTGAAGGGAGCTCAAGTATTCCGTGCTCCACCTTCTCCAGAAATGCTGTTGGAGCTGCTGAACTAATTGCCAACGTGTTAATCTATTCTCGCTTACATCGGTTAAATCGGGAGAAGGGATACTGTTGAGCAGAGTACCGACCAGAAAGTGACCCGGTGTGAGGGGGGTCAGATCATTCGGATCATTACTTAATTGAGTGAGAGGCCGCGAGTTCAGAATTGCCTCTATTTCGCAAAGCACGGTCGTCATTTCCTCAAATGTTAAATGTGCCTGGCCAACGATACGAGACAAGTGATACTTAGCAGATTTTACGGCTGCCTCCCACAAACCCCCGAAGTGAGGCGCGTTGGGCGGTATGAATGACCATGACGTTTCTTGGTCGCGAAGGAAATCCTTAACGTTTGTCTGAACTTGCTCGCTGGCGACAAAATCATAGAGTTCCTTTATTTGCTTATTTGCACTAACAAAGGTCGTTCCGTTATCGGAGTAAATATTGACTGGCCTCCCTTTTCGCGATATAAATCTTCGCAACGTGGCTAAAAAGGCATCCGAGGTGAGGTCGCTTACTAGCTCTATGTGGACTGCCTTCGTGGCGAAGCAGACGAATATTGAGATATAAGCCTTACAAATGCGGGCATTACGGCGCTTGCCCTCTTTCAGGTTTACCGGACCGGCGTAATCGACGCCGCAGTGTGAAAACGGTTTGGAGATTGTAACGCGACCACTGGGCAGTGAACCCATAATTGCTTCTGATTGCGCTGGTTTAGCCTTAAAACACGCTACGCAATTTCGAGTGATTTTTCGCGTGGTAGAGCGCAAGGAAAGAG